AATTCGAACAAAACATTCGAAATAGAAAGCCACTTTCAACCACTTTCAGCCTCATATCTCCCGCACCCTTATAGCTATCGAGACGCGACCACCCCTATGCACGAATGGAGACTTGGGGCTACCACCACATACAAACACTATTCACGTGCGATGTGTAGTTTTGGCGAAAACGTGAAATATAGAGACATAAATGTCCATTTATATATATATATATATATATAAATATGGACATATATATATGGACATATACATGGACATATATATATAGATATAGATGTGATATATTATATTATTTGGGACGAGTAAATGTCTTATTTTCTGCCACATTTTCCAAATCCTGGTAGACGGTTCCACTATTAATAATAAAATATTGTTAAGTATATTATAAACCAAAAAGTGAGGGAAACTAACAATGAACTTACTATTATTAAAATAATTGGTTTCCAGACCTTAAACAAAACAAATACACCAAATCCATAAGATTGTGTGAAGTCAACTGCCTTGTTACAATTCATTTTACAATGTGATGTGATTTTATTTCAGCATCTGTTTCAGGGTTATGTAAAAAGAATGTCATTCCATCCCTCATGTAGCTTCAGTCCCACGTTGTTATTAATTCTAATGTCTTCCTGTATTTTCAGAATTTATGTGTTCTTGTAGTCTTCTTTTTAATTGATCGTTTTCTGTCAGAATACTCTTGACAGTATCTTTTAAAAATTTTCACAACCTTCGATATTTGCAATGTTATGCCACTGATGATGATATTAAATTGTTTTTGATGGCATATTTCTTTTGTCATTTTATGGATGATTGCTTATCTATGGTTTAAAATAGTTTAATAGCACTTATCTAAAAATGTTTACATAAACCTTATTAAATACGAAGATTAATCTATAAAAAGAAAACACAGTGACAGTCATAAATGCTGAAAGCAACGGCAATGACACTCGGTTGATAGAGAAGTTAGGACAAGGAAAAGAAATGCACTACCAGTTTTCATTAAAGTAAACCTGACGAAAGGCACAGAGCAAATTGAAAATTTCAAAATCCCTGGGAAAATTTGAGATAGCGTGCATGTTTACTTGAATAAAACAATTTAACAGTGGCGTGCCGTCATTGGAAGCGGTGGATGCGCAGCGCCGCTTCCCTTGTATTTTCTAAAAAATAAATACATATTAATTTTAATTATATGAAAACAATCGCACAATATTTTGTTATAACCGCATTATGTATCTTATTACAAATTTCTACACTACACGTGAAAAAAAGATGAGATTGCTATTGTATATTCGAATATTAGTGGCAAAGTGGAAGCGCTGTATAGTCAGCATCCAAAAAGCCAGTTCCGCGCATGAGCTTTACAGAGCACCAACCTCACCCGGTTTAGCCGGTGGAAGCCTAGGACCTTGGGTGGATGCTACACGTATACCGCATCCAATTCTATCCAGGACCGGTTCTGTGCTGTTAGCCGCCTGCCCACTAGATATTTGGCCGCCCTCGCCCGATTACGTGAAACACGAGTAGATTTATAACTTAATCCAACCGATAGGAATTTACTGGTATGTTTTTATGATAGTTCTGTACAGTTGACAGAAGTTAAAAAAATCCATTAAAATATTTGATATACAGTAGAACCTCCATTATCCGGACCTCCATTATACGGATTTTCGATTATCCGGATTGTTCAAAATAAACAAAAATTTTACGAATTTGCTGATTTGCACTTGGCGAATTACG